AGATAGAAATACAGATAGATAGATAGAGATAGAAATAGAGATAGATATAGATAGAATGGGGTTCGTTAGTTATAAGATTTGCAGGGCTGGCCGCAGATCGGACTCAGATACTCCTCAGCCTAGTCTAAGACCATACCAGGCTCATGCTCGAAGCTCATTTGGGTGTAGCTCCACAGAATCAACAAGGCAGGGGGTTCCCAAGCCCCAAATCATGGCTGATATGCTTAGCTTGAATCACTTGGATCTCAGTTGCTTAGCTTGGCCTCGGCTAGGTGGTTTTCAGGGGATTTCTGGACATGTTTGCCAGTTATTACGGGGGTCATCAAGATTGAGCTCCGAATGGCTAAAGGCTAGTGGAGAGCTGAGAAGAGAGCAAGTGGTAAGGGTGTAAGTGTTGCTCAGTCATTCTAGCTTTGAAGCGTTGCTTGATCCATTAAAAACACTTGACGCTCCCAATCTTCATGCGCGGCTGAGGGTTCCTCAAAAGGGGCAAAAACAGCCCTGCAGGGGTCCCATGGGTCCTTGAAATGGACAACCAGGGGGGCCTTGCACATCTCTGCACCAATTCGGGACCAGGCATCACTTCAGCCATGTGCCCCGCGACGCATGCCGGTCCGTGCTCGGCGGACGGCTAAAAACGGCCGACCGTCGCGAGCCACGGGACTGGGAAAAGTATGATGCGCCTGGATTTGCTGTAGATGTGTGCGAGGTGCGAGGTGTCTTTTGAGTGTAGACCTGCACAAGTTAGTGTTTTGTCCATTGCTTGGGGCGGCTCGCTGGTGCCAAGGCAACATTAAAACTATGATGCTTTATGTTTTAGCTGTATAGGCTACTGTATAGGACCGGTGTAAAAATGAGGAAGCAGACACTTCTTGGCAGACCTTTTTTCGACAGGGTTACGATTTCTCGCACAGGGATTTTGACTATATAAGTCTCCATAGCATCGGTCTTCCATTGTGGGTGTTTACTATCCTTTGATCCTGAGAGCAAATGCAACCTTGTGTAAACATCAACCTCTTAAACAGCGAGCCGCGCGCTGGGATCAAGGGCCATACTTGCTAAGTCCGGGCTTTTCCAGTTGAGTAATTATCGTTCAGCGATGACGTTTTGGAGCAAATCTGGGTCTAGCTAGGAGTCGTTGGCAGGTTTCGTTATTTTGGCCTTTGACGCGCCAACCAAGCGCGGGCTTTCGATTTCGGCTCCTTGTGCTGAGCAGCGACGAAGGGTTGACATGAGGCAACGTGTTCTGTTTGGTGGACGGAAGGCATTTGGCACCACCTAGGACCATGAAGCGGAGCGTAGTCATGAGGGTAGAACATTCGGAGTCGAGTCTCCCCCAAGGGATCTTAAATGCAAAGGGCAGGTGCAGTTGGTCGAGGTGTAAAGTTTGATGAGTTTGTGGGCCCAAATTGGGGTTGAACACAATATAAACACAATTCATTCAACTGGGAGAAGTCCAAGACCACATAGTATTAGTACAGGAATAGTTACAGGAAGTCCTCCTTCAACTGGAGGGGTCTAGGGTTCAGGGCCGAGCTCACGAGACAGGCTTTGGTTAGCGCCCATAGTGCTTAGAGCTGCTCCGAATGCCTACGCTGGAATTCGCGCCTTCTGCTGCGTGGGGCGACGATCATGTCCCAGGTTTGCGCGAGAAGAACGGTGCTGAGAAAAGTCGTGATGTGCGGCTGAGCAGTCGAGTTGCTGGAAAATGACTTCGAGGCATTTCTTGGTGGATGTGCAACAAGAACAACCCTAACAAGTGGAGGGGCAGAATTATTGGCATGAATCAGTAGCTCTAGTGAGGAGAGGCATTTTGCACAATTCTATGCCAGCAGATGCCTGCTGAGAACTCCGGGTGTCCACTTAAAAGGACAGCACCACTTTTTGCTTCGACTATTTTCGACGGACGATGTAGTCCCTTGCCAGTCACTTTTGATGTTCACCATCCACACTTCCCACATGTGTGCACGACCTTCGTGAGGATTGCGTTAATCAGAAGGTAGTGACAGGTGGCTGTTGCCAGAAACATGTTTTTTACACCTGAGAAGGTGGTTGGACTGCAGTTTTGGGTCTAATTTGGGGGGAGCCTACCACGATTCCATCAATGCGATCAATGGACATAAATAACAGTTCCGGTCCAAATTCTCACATGTTCAACTCTGGGATCTTGCGGATCACCATGCCTGTACTACCGGCAGCGGCTTGTCAATTCTACTAAAATCTGAACATCTCTTGCGATGCAGGAGCCACCTTCGGCGAGCTTCTACCACGTAGAGATTGAACGTCGGGACACCACATGCCGTTGCAGTGTGGCACCGGTGTGGCAACCGCAGCAAAATCAGACCGACACCGTACTATAGGTATGCTGCAGAAGCTCGACGGATCTTGTTTCCACTTGTCCTGCCCTGTGATCAGTTGGGGATTGCCTGGGACAAGCACCTTGACACGATGTGTGATGGTCAGACCTTTTTCAAACCCAGGGGAGCTCATGCGTTGTGACAGCGTGAAACAGAGAGAGACACACACACACACACACTTAGAGAGAGACAGAGACATAGAGAGGCGTTTCCTAGTTTGGCACGCTGATGGTCAATGCAATTCAGATCAAGATCGCAGTTTGCCCCCACTTCTTGAAGAATTCGTATGACTCCACCATCCAGCACCACGTTTGGAGCACTTTCAGTTGCAGATCCAGAAGGAAGAACTTCTTTCATTTTCTTTCTAACTCTCAGCGTCAACGGTGAAGCCTCACCTGGCAGTCTCGAACGAGAAGATTAGACCAGGACCCCTCCCTCACTGCCGGGTCTTGAGGGTTGGGAAGGGCCCATGCCCAGGTCTCACTCAGTGACTTGTGGGAGGGTGCTAGCATTTTTGTTGAAGTCAATCAAGTTGGGTAGCAGCCATAAGCCGTGATACAAATGAACTCAAAATCAGAAGAGGAATGATTATTGATATGCTGAACAAATATGATGGAAGAATGCAGAGGTCCTTTTCCAACGGGGGTTAGGTCCATGTGATCAATCTGGGGAATTGTTAATTGATTTTGGGCCCAGACACTCCAAACAGCCCGACTGGTCCCTCAAAACCGGGACATTTGAGACCCCAGACCCCTCCGTATCCATGAGCGTGAAACGGGTCACACTCTCGTAGGTCTTGCACCACTGCTCCATCGGTGGACCAAGTGATGGTCACTGCGTTCAGGTCAAGGGCTTGCAGGCCTCGGGCTTCAACTGGAGGCCACCCGGACTTGGCATTTTTGGTGTTCAGTACCCAGACGCTCCATGGGACTGCCATATATGCCTACATTGGGGTGGTTTGGGGGGTCAATGTAGGCAAATATGCCATACATGGCTTGTATGGGGTAGGGTTTGTCATGGAAGCTATCTTGTCATGAGCCGCCCGAGAATCCCAAGAAGGTGCCTTCTCTCTTCTCGTCGGGCGTTCGGGCGTTCGGGCGTTCGGGCGTTCGGGGGCGTGGCGTCAAGCGGGTCGTGGCGTCTCTGGGCCGCTATCGATCTGTGCTGTGGTGTTTGCAGCTCTTGGAGGTATAGCTGGAGTAGCTGGAGTGCGGGGGCGTGACACTTGTGTTGGGTGTTTTTCGACGCGCGATTTACGGTATATAGCGAAAATAAAACATAGCTTTAAGTCTTTAGATAGCTTATGATAGTTTTAACACCTGATATGTTTGTAAATCCATGTCAATGTACATCAAGCATTTACATGTACAGTTAGTTTTCATTTCCATGGCACAAGTGCCGCTGTAAGAGGTCTTTGAGCGCATGTCTCCAACAGTGCGCTTCGGGCCAGTACTCTTGAGAAGCTGCTTCGTTGGACCTTTGAGATGTGTCCCCCACTGCTGGGGATGCCGACCAAGCAGCCAAGCAGTGCCATGGCCCAGCAGTGGGGGACCTGCCCATGGCGTTCCAGGCCATGCAGGATGAGTATTGCCTGGTGATCGGCATCAAGGCAGGGCCGCAGCGCCAGAGCACGGAGAAGGGCTGTCCAGGTAGTTGTCCTCCCTGGAAGGATCACGGTGGATTGGAAGTGGATGGGACGGCATGGTCCGACCTCGAATGGACTCATAAGCTTGCTTGCATGCTTTGGGCCAACCCTTGCATGCTACCTTGCTCTTTGATGTTAGTGTTGTGTCCTCTTGAAATTTGAAGGGTGGATGTGGCAGCTCTTGAAAGCGCGCGCCGGCCCGCCCTACATGTTTTGAAGTGCTTGGTTTGTGGTGCTGGCTGCTGGGGTGCCAGCTCATGTTCTTTCAAGCAAGCCCCATGTGCCTGGGGGGCTGCTGGGGGCACTGGCTTGGAGCTGCCTCTAGCAGACCCAGGTGGTGTGAAAAAGGATCACAAAGGGAGCAAGCCCAGATGGGCACGGGGAAACGCACGCATGAAATCCGTGTTCCATCACGATTTCAGGGACTGTAATTACTCCAAGTGCTCGACGTTACGAACCAGGTCCCGGTTTGGAGGGCGAACGTCAGTCCCATTGACAGAGGTGGGTCCCGAAATCGTTGGCAGACTTGGAATGATCGATGACCAGGGCTGTTTGGAACCGGATGGTTGAAGAAACAGATGGCTGATGACCATGCCAGGTGTGTAGAGGAAGGGCCTTCTTTGTATAATAAAGAATGTTAGTGCCCCACAGACAAGGACTCTGAGGACCTAAATAAGTTTTACAATCACCACAGACATCAGGCCCACGCGCAGACATCAGCCCCACGCGCTCCATGTATGCAAATCTGACCTACATTTGGGTGGTTTTGGTAGTGAATGCACATGAATGTAGGTCGCATTTTCCTGTACATGGAGCCGTTTGTGATGGACAAAGGGCAGTCATTATAGTTTTAGAGCAACATGCACCACATGTAACTACTAAGAAAAGCACCTCACACGACCAATAATCCGAAGAACAAACAACCTCCTAGAAGATCCCGTTGTCATGGACCTCGGTTTTGTCGTCCTTTCTTCGTCGGTTCCACGGAGGAGGGGCTCATCGAGCATTGGAACGCACAGCAGGAGACACCGGAGATGCAGGCACTGTCCGACGGGTGCAGGGGCACTGGGTGGTGGGGGATGCCACAGCGGGAGAGGAGCAGAGTGAGCAGAGGTGTTTGAGGGAATGTTTCTGTTGCCTTTTGGAAAACTTGGAGCCACTGGGAGGTGTTTCAATCGTTTTCCGTCTTCGCATTCCCATCATTCCCATACAATACCAGCAGATTACAGTACCAGCAAGAAGTAGAAACTGTCTATTCACTGTACATATTACCCTATGTAGTGCAGCCACCTCTAACAGGTCTTCTTTGAGGGTTTTTGAAACTTTGCAGTCACAGGGGGTGACCTGTTGGAGGGTTTTGCTTGTTGGTTTCGTCCTATTTGGTAGAAGCCTATCACCTAAGGAGTCAACCTACCAGGTTAGGACCGCCGCAATGAGCGACCGGTCCTCTACAAACTTCAAGAGATCTCAGGGTTCCTTTGCCCGACCATCCATGTATGGAGCATATGCTGACATTGACCCCTGAAACCACCTAAATGTAGGTAAATATGGCAGTCCCATGGATAGTTTGGGTGTATTTGCCCCACCAGGGCCATCGTGCTCTTCACCATGGCCACGCGGAACAAGATAGAACAGATATCTCGGGATGAGGGGGTCAACCGCTTCAGCTATCTTCCCATATGAAGGGGAACATGGATAAACATGGCCTAGTCAGATTGTCAGATTGACCCTGAAATCCACAACAAAGTTGTTTTTTTGTTTTTGTCCGTGGTGGTGCTGTGCTGAACTTATAAAGAAACAATATCCAAGAAAGGCACTTCCCACGCAAGATCGAAAAAGGGGAAGACCTTCACCCCGTTGCATGCTCGCATCTCCCTTGTGCGTTTAGGAAAGGCATGCTTTGGTTATTCGTGAGGGTGAGGTGATGAAGCTGTTGGATCTTTGGTGATCTGCTTGTCTCCCACACCCAGGAGAGCCACACGTGCCAGGTTCGCCCATGGGATCGTCTAGTGGAGGCAGAACACTACCTGGGGTGGAGAATTCACCCCAGCATCCCAGCTGGTTGCAACCTGAGTCAAACATGAAAGTGGACACCACCTGTTTGTACCATGGTCCTCCTTCCAGCCTATTTTGTCCCAAGTAACCATGATTCTTTCAGGACCAACATGCGCCAACAAGCGCCTGTCCCCCCCCAAAAAGGTGTGTTTTTTTGTTTTCGAAAAGTCAAAATATCACATACAGTGGTAACCCCTAACTTGCTGTGTC